GTGTCGTCTCCTCTTCTTATAGAGACACCATCTGTGTTGGAGGTAGGGCCCACCCCATTCCAGGATGACCTCATCTTACTCAACTACCTGCAAAGACCCCACTTCCAAATAAGGTCACATTCTGAGGTTCTGGGTGGACTGGGATTTTCAGGCGACGTGATGCAACCCTGTTCATCGCCATTTCCTCACCTGTAAGATGGGAAAACTAGGAAGACTGAACTTAGAGGATTGTTGCAAGAATTCAGCGAGCTAGCATAGGTGAGGCCCGGAAGCAGCCCTGGGCATGGTGGCAGAGGCCGGTACATGGATTTTGTTAAAGCCTCATCCAGGTCTGATCCTCCTTAGGGAGTGTCAAATAATTCTATTTCCCTTCCCACTTCCAGCCCTCTTTGCTTCAGCTTCCCACAAAGTGTAGGAACAGGAATTGCGATCCACAGGCAAGTGCCTCCCTGCGTGGGGTGGCCAGGGTCCTGGGCGGCACCTGCCCCAGGGAGAGCAGAGGCCATAGGTCACGTCCCTCTAGAGGCAGCTCTGTGCACAGCTGCCCGCAGCAGGACCACAGCTCAGGAGGTTGCCTGGGCGAGGACTGGGGCCACCTGAGCCACTTCCTTCTCTTGCTGTCCTTGGAAGGAGGAGTCTTGGGGCCAGCCTTGGACCTGTAGGCTGTCCTGCAGAGTGATAATAAATGGGGTCCTTTGGAAATAAACCAGAAGATAGCTGGCGAACAAAAGCTCATCTAGGAGACCCCCTCACCTCGATCCCAGATGCTGAAAATGGCACACAGGTAGGCAAGGCCCCAAGCGCAGGTTGCAGGCCACCTGGAAAGACCATAGGACCCTGGGAGGGAACAGGGCAGATCCTCCAGGTCTCCCCACTACTGGAGAGGAGGTCGCTTCCCTCACAGGACGCATGGGAGGTGGCTGCCTGCCCTCTCCTTGTTTCCAACCCCCACCCTGATCTCAGCCCTCCCCAGAGATGAACAAGTCCATTGTTTGGAATGGAAAGCTCCAGGCATTGCGTCTGCTGCACACAGGTACACACACACATGGGCACACACACACAGGTACACACATACACAGGCATACACATACAGGTACACACACATGGGCACACACACATGGGCACACACAGGTACACACACACATGGACACACACACGTACACACATGCACACGAGCACACACAGAGGTACATACGGGCACACACACAGGTACACATACATGCACATGGGCACACACAGGTATACACACATGCACACAGGCACACACACAGGTACACACAGATCACATGGGCACACACATGGACACATGCACACACATAGGCACATGCACACATACACACACACTTGCACACAGGCACACACACCTGCACACGGGCACACACACCTACATACACACACCACTGCACATGGCACACACACCTGCACACAAGCACACACAACTGCACACACGACACACACACTTGCACATAGGCACACACACCTGAACCACGCACCACACCACCTACATACAGACCACATACCCTGCCACATGGGCACACACACCCGCACACAAGCACACACAACTGCACACACACACATATGGGCACATGCCACACAGGCACACACATGGGCACATGGACACAGCCACACACACCTGCACGTGGGCACACACATACAGGTGTGCACACACAGGCACATGCACACACACACACTCACCGTGGGTGCTGGTTTGCACACGGGAATCCTGAAAGACACGCTACTCTGCAACTTGCCTCATCCCCCTCAAACCTAACCGGGACACATCCTCCAGCAGCCTACGTTCCTGAGTTGCTCATGGCCCCAGCTGCACCGTTGAGCTAGGACAAGAAGCCACATTTGGTATGATATTAAATCAATGCTGCAGACATGACCCACCACGGCATCGACGCCGGAGCTCGCTTGGCGTGTGCTGCGCAGCCATGGCCCTCCATGTTCCCCACCCCAGGCGACAGCCTACAGGCTGGATCATTGGGCGCCCTTGGGCTTTGATCCCATTGGTTTGGATTCATCACCCACCGCTGTGGGTCAACTGTTGCCTGTTTTTGCTTGGCTTGTACTTCACAACGAAGACTTGAGGCCAACAGACACCGGTCCTCAGTGTTTCCTTTTTTTGAACCTGACTCCACCGGAGCCGTCTAGCTGGAGGGCACTGAGCGGGAAGGAGACGCCGTCCCTACAAGGCCATGGCGAGGATGCTGGAGGAGCTGCTCTCTGAGCCAGGAGAGGAAAACAGAAACACGAGGGAGAATGGGAAAGAGCAAAGCCTTTCAAGGAGGCCTTGCCCAGCCGGGCCTGGCCGGCAGCACCTGGCGTTGGGGGGCACCTGTGGGAGGAGCCCCGGCTGGGGAGTATGAACGGGCGCAGACTTGTGGCCCCTTTGTGGAGCAGACGGCTGTTCACTAGCATGATGTTTGTGGCATCCTGGGGCAGCCATGGGGCTCTCGGGCCCTCTGCCTGCCCCACTGGGCCTACCACTGCCCCCAGGCACAGCTGTCCTCAGTGCTGGCCTCTGATCGACCATTTTCCAAGAACCCCGACCCAGGAGGTGCTCCTGCCACTGGCTGCCAGCCTGGACTCGACCCAGGCCCCTCCCACCTGAGGCCCTGCCAGGAACTGCCCGGCCTGGACACGGAGGAGTTTCCCATGTGGACGCAGGGAAGAGCCTCCCATTGTCCCAGTGGAGGAAGCTGCCCACGGGCCGAGGATGAGTCACGGGTTCGAGGAATCGCATGGCGAGGCTGTGGGCGGAGCTTTTGTCTGCCCTCCTCCTACATAAGGCCCCCCGAGCCCACACTGCCTCAGCATCCCTCTCGCTCCAGACCTCAGAGCCACCCACAGCCGCAGCCATGCAGTGCCTCCTGCTCACCCTGGGCGTGGCCCTGATCTGTGGCGTCTGGGCCATCGACAGCCCCCAGACCATGCAGGACGTGGAGCTCCCAAAGGTTTGAGGCTGGGGGAGCGGGCGCTTTACTGTGGGAGGTCTGGGGCGGGTCGGGGCTGTGGGAAGCCGGGAAGCCCAGGATCTAGAAGGCCGAGGGTCGACAGAGGAGGCTGTGATGTTAGGGCCCCTGTGAGCTTCCCAGGGCTGGCCTCCCGCAGGTTGCAGCCCGAACAACAGAGCTGATTCTCCCAGTCCTGGAGGCTGGAAGTTCGAGATCACAATGTCGGCAGGACTGGCGCTCCTCCAGGCTCCTCTCCTTGCCGTGTAGACGCCGTCTTCCCACTGTGTCCTCACAGGGCCGTCCCTCTGGCTGTCTGTGTCCTAATCTCCTCCTCTAAGGACCCCTATCAGACTGGGTCAGGGCCACCCTAATGGCCACAGTTTAACTTCATCACTTCTTAACCATTCTAGCTCACATTTGGAGGTGCTGCGGTCAGGACTTCAATATATGGATCTTGGGGACACAATTCAGCCCGTAGGCAGGGCCTCTCTGTCCCCCAACCTCCCTCCAGCCCCAACCACATGGCTCCCCAGGATCCAAATATTCCCCTGACTCAAGGAGATGGGCTCAGCCTGGTGCTTTTTTGGGCTCAAATGAGTTTAGCTGGAACATTTCTGGGGCAGCAGAGTCGGGTCCACGGCGGCGTGAGGCCCCCTCTGGCATCAGTCCCATGCAGCAGCCTGATGAGTCCAGTCCAACTCCAGCAGTGGCCTGAGGGAGCTGGGGACAGGTGGGACTCAGCCTCACCTGCACGGGGCACAACGAGAGCCATGGTGGCCTGGGGACCCCCGTGCAGCTCGAGGCCCCTTCAGTTGGCAGGGACTTGGCACTCCATGGCCATGGCGGCCAGTGACTTCTCCCTCCTGGAGACCAAGGAGGCCCCCCTGAGGATCTACATCAGCTCGCTGCAGCCCACCCCCGAGGGCAACCTGGAGATTGTCCTGCGCAGATGGTGGGTTCCTCGTCATCGGGGCTGTGGCTGGCGGGGCTCACTCTCCCGCAGCTGCGCGCCGGGTCCAGGACTATCGAGCGGTGGCGGCAGAGCCAGGGCCGCCAGGCCGTTTCCCCTGACCCTCCGCGGTCCAGGGCTTCTACTGGGACCCTCCACCGCACAGCGCCGGGTCTGGGCGCAATGCACTTCGCGCGCCTCGTCCTCTCCCCAAGACACCTGCCCGGGGACTCTGGCGGGCCAGCAAACTGACCACACATCGCCAGCCTGGTCAGCCTGCGAGAAGCGGTGTGGGGCCCAGGCCTGGCCTGCTGTGGTCTGTGTCTCCTGGACCAGGCCAGATCCTGTGCAGGACTTGTCCCCTGCCCCGCGTCACGCCTTGGGGGAGATCGAGGGGAACCCTGAACCCCCATGATGCCTGCAGGAACCCGGCACTGGCTGCCCACCGTCA